TTTCCGGAGACTTTCTGTAAGGTTGTCGGAAAACTTTTATGAAAGAGTTTTAAAAGCTTCCCAAAATATTGTTGTTAGTTGATAGCAAGTTTAGTGGAATGGTAACTGTAATCTTGCAAGTTATCTTGCTGGTAAGCTTTATAAAACCTTTCTGGAAAATTCCAAGAAACTTTCAAAAATTCCGTTTTTGAACTTTTCATGTAATCTTTCTGGAAACTTTTTTCAATCTTTCATGCAAGCTTACTTGACAACCTTTTTGTTACCTTGGAGAATGGTTACTATGAGCTTCATGAAAGTTTGTATTGAAACCTTTCTCGAAACTTTCCTAGTAAGCTTTCATGCTATGTGGGAATGAAAATGTCATTCATGCAGGCGCAAAAATAGCTTACACTCGGTGCAATGTATACAGAGAAACATTGTCACAAAAGAGAGATGTACACATAATCGATCGATAATTTTATAAAATATATGTCACGTCTATTTATTCATTTTGCGCGCAATGCATTGAGCGCGTGTTTTTGAATTTCTGATAATGTAAGGTACTAGTCCAAGCCGTAATGTTGAACGTGAAGGTCACCTTTTTTGCTTTAATGTTTATATCGTACAGAAGCAGCTTGAGGATCCTCCACCGAAATTTATACGAAATATCTGCGCTATATCGCCCAAAGTTAGAGAGGCGAAAATTCATCGCTCGGGCTTCGAAACGACATAGTCTCTCGAATATCATCGCTCTACTTTGCTGCAGACGGACAAAGGAAAAATCGCGGACTGCTGCCACTATAATGTTTGCGCGAGGATTGATATGCGCTAGCGCTCCCTCGGGTAGATTTATTTAGACAGAAGAGCAAAAATGAATTATTTAATGCGCGAGGAGCTTTTCTCTCACTCATCTCTCTCCCTCTCACTCTGCCCCGCTATGCAGCAAGTTTCTTCGCAAACTCCGTGATGAATCTCGAGAATATTTTATAAAGTCGCGCGCGGAAAAATTTCACACGCATATTAAATTAGCCGTCTTATCCTCCCGGGCTGCACAGTGCGCACAGCGGCGGGGACGTGTAACATTTAACTGGGTTTTGATTCGATATTATCCTTCTCTCGTACACCGCTCGGAGACGCTCGCAGTTAATTCGCCCAGAGGTGCCTGAGGTGCTCTCTATAATTGGCCAAAAAGCACACGTACACTCGAGTAATCGAACTAAGTTGAGTCGTATACACACACTGCACGTAGACGCGCGCGCGCGCGCCGCGATTGGATTATATGAAATGGAAGTACTACTTCTCGAGAGTATTATACTGGCTTGATTCCAGAATGATTCGGGTGGAGGCGCGCTCTCGAGTTAACGCGTTTAGCCTATAACCACTCAAAAGCTCGTACGTCGTCGGAGAGAGCTCGCAAATTTTCTCGAAATTAGAGAGACACACAATCGAGCGTGACAAAGGATGACGGTCTTTTTTTCTCTGTACAAAACCGCGATGCGAATCGATGCGCCTCGTCTAACGAAGCGCGGCTGCAAAATTCTTATTGCATTTGGCCGGGCTCCAAATCTTCGATCGTAATCTCTCGCGTCGAGTAGCAGTAGCAGTAGTGTATAGTTTTGCAAGCTCGATTCTCAACAATATTATAAGCCGTAAAACTGCTGCACTCGAGATTGATAAAAATCTCTCTCTCTCGCGCGCGCACTACTGTCCTCGTTGCAGCACGCGGGGATGTTTATGAGTCACGGTATTACCGCCGCGCCCGCGGATAGGGGATAATCGCACTATACGTACGTGGAGAGAACTCGCAACGACGATATTATTATCGGGGTCAAAGCCATAAATCGACCAAGGTCATAGATCTTCTCGCGGGTGCGGCGGTGTAAATTAAGCCTATATATATGTATATGACGGTCCCTGTCGCGTAATAAAATCACACTCGCGCGCTGCAGCGATCCGCCACCGAGTTAATTAAGACCGCGTCGAAATCTCGTGTACATATAGGCGGCGGTGAAATGCCTTTCTCTCTCTCTTTTCCCAACGCGGGCCGCAGCAACAACAAGCTATTATTTCTTCGAGAAGGGTCGGTAATTGACTTAACCATTTGTGGTGCGCACAAATATCTAAGCAGCAAAACACAGTGTGTATACAACAGGCGGCAGCATTCATACACGTGCCGAGCGGGTGCGGGCGTGTAGAAAAAGTCAACGAGACGGAGAGAAGAAAAGAGTGTACGAACGGCGGCAGGCGCTATACTACTACTAGCCGCAGATAAATGGATTATTCACTTATACTACGTGCTACGAAAAATAAAACAGCTTAGAAAAGGTAAAGAAACGCTTGTAAAGAGTGAGAAAGAATGGAGCGCGCTGCGCGAGAGAAAAAAAAGAAAAGCTCACGTTTGCGGCACTAATCGTCGACGTAGTCGTGGCTATACGCCGTCACTTGCAAAAGCTAATTTTTACCGACTCGGGATAATCTTCCACGACGACCCTGTAAATTATAAGCTTTTTTTGCTTTCTTCTGGTACTATATACCGTACTCTTTGCTTTCGAGCTTGTGGAAATAAGAAAAGGAGGGTATAGTATAAGTAAAAACGAGGATTGTGGGTGGTTGGACGAGGTTGGTCGAGGAGGAATTTAGGCAAAGAGAGATAGATATGCGAATCGCTCGCGGCACTGGCTTAGTTTTGCTGCTGCGTGGCCACAATTTTGCCCCGTCTTTGGCCAAACGGGCTAATGAAAGTATGTATACTGTATGAGTTGGCTTAATGTATATAAGTAGCCTTGCGTGCTGGGCACAATAGTGGCCGGAGTGGTGTAGCGGCATTCGGAGCTGTATAACTAGCGAGACCGAGCCGGACGGTCTGAGGGAATCGGTCACCGAGTCGCCCCCGGGCACCCTGTGCACTCTGCCTCGGACACGACGACGACCACGACGACGTTTAGATGCTAAAGCAAAATAAAAGCCATGTGCTTTTTTCCTTTTTATTTTCTTTATTATTATTTTTTTTTTTACTCCATATTCAAACAAGGCTATACGTACTCGAGATCAAAGAGCGTGCCGGACTTTTGCGCGCAAATGAAAAATTTTTTGCTGCCTTGCTGTGCTGCTTATTCATCCTTTTCACCCCATGTCATATTTATAATGATATGCAGAATATTTGGATCGCGCTCGGTGCAAGCTCGCGTATTACATAGTCTCAGAATGTAAGAAAGTCCGGATGAAAAAAAAATCCGACACAAGATGTATATTTTTATATTTTGTTGTTTTTTTTGTGATTACAGGTGCCATTTTTACTCATGACCAAAGAAATAGCAGCACTGAGCTGGCCTTCAAGTACGCCGTGCACAAGATTAACAAGGACAGGATCGTACTGCCGAACACGACCTTGATGTACGACATACAATACGTACCCAAGGACGACTCGTTTCACGCATCAAAAAAAGGTATGATTTTTTTTTATTATCATATTGGTAAAGTAGAAGATATTCTTTTAATTTTTACTTTCACCGTGACAAAATGTATTTCGAGCTATCAAGCTGTAATAATAATAGTAATAATAAATGCATAAATTAGAAGGTTCATGCAAACCTTATCTTATCGAGAGCACACGAGCTTGCGCAGCTTTTCCTTCTCAGATTTTACAGTTATTATACACGTTACGTGCTCACCAAATGCGCTTCTTGCGGCTCAAATTTTTTTTTGCTCAACTGGAAAGTAGATGTAAAAATTTCAACTCATCCGCGAGAAATTCGAATAAAATCTGACACTTGTAAAAATTGGGATAAATTAATATTAAAAAGTTGTAATACGTTTATGGATAGCTATTGTTGCGTCGTATATAACCCGTTATATACGTAGTAATCATCAATACATATACTTGCCTGTACACTGAGACGAGCTGGTGGCGGCGCGCACATATATATAGGAGGGTACACTTGGGTTGGGTTCGAGCTACGGCAATACAACATGACGACGTAGACTTCGCGTGTTCAAGAGGTGCACTTCAAATACGCGCTTGTCCTCGTTCCTCCGTAGTAGCAGCAGCAGCAGCTACAGTACAGTTCTCTAACTCCGCTCATCGTTTATCTATATCGACGCGGAAGGGGGTTGAGCACCGCGACGCTTTTTTTCTGCGGCTCTCTTCTCGAAAAGCAGCAGCAGCAGCAGCAGCAAAGAAGAGAGATCCGTCATTCTATATTCGAAGGGGCACCCTCTCCGTGCCTTATATAAACTCGTATATGCACGATGACAAAGACGGTAGCGAGTTCGAGTTTTTTTTTTTTTTTTTGTTACTTTCCAACTCGAAGTGATACACGCGTGCGTGTCTGCGCATATTACGTAAATTACTTACGTCAATTCGAGCTCGGAGATCACGAGTAGCGCAGATACCTAATATACGTCTACACGCGCGCATAGAGTGCAGCTAGTTTCGCGCGAAAAAACCACATGAATTATCGTAAAACGTATACGCGAGCGAGCGACACGATGCCGCACGCGCGTCCGTCGCATCATGAATTTTATGTACATACATGCGCTCCTCTCGTTCAAGCTGGTTTGCTGCTGTCGCTGTTGCTGCTGTTGTTGCGCGGGGGTAAAAACAATATTTGCATGTGTACGCCACACCATGGCAGCAGAGAGACAGAGAGAGAGAGAGAGAGAGAGAGAGAGGAGAGAGAGACGTGTCTTTTTCCCTCTCACTCACTCTCGAGAGAAAGAGAAAAAACAAAGAAAGTCCCATCTCTCTCTCAGCTGTGTGATGCGCTGCGTGTTACTACTCTCTCTCTCTCTCTCTCTCTCTCTCTCTCTCTCTCTCTCTCTCTCTCTCTCTCGTCCTCCGGCTTGTATCCCATCCTATACTGCTACTGTACGCTGTGCTATCTCTCCGCGACACTGTCAGGACTTGTCCAATAAATTTTCAGATCCACTCGTTTGTTGTCCCTCCGTTGCCGTTGCCGCTGCTACACATACATACGTGTGCTATATAAGCTTGGATGTATATCGCGTATAAAAAGAAGAAAAAAAAAGAAGAAGGAAAGCGTGCGGGATCGAGGTCGAAGGCAGAGTAGAGTAGAGAGAGAGATCATCGCAAATCATCCGTACACATTTCGGACGCCTTGTCTATATTCCTTGTCGCTTGTAACTTTTCTTTTTTACTACTCGCGCATGTATATATACGCGAGGTACGGAGGGACGAATTGAAAAATAATTCAGCCGCATCGGAGACGCGGAGGGGCATAAAAACGTAGTTGCGGAATATATAACACGAGTTGTAAAAGCAGTACAGTATCGACGAAGCTTATAACACGGAAAAATCGTCACTAAGGCGTCGCTTTTCGCAAAAATCCGCTGTGCGTACTAATGATGGCTCGCGGGCAGACGATCTCGTTTCATCTTTTCGCCTTTTTTGAGGAGTACACGATCGCGCCGCCCCCGGCCGTTCGAACTTCGCAATTAAGCACGAGAGAATCGTTAATTACTATTTTCCTCACCTTTTTTTTTTGTCTTACTTCTTTTGCGTGCGCAGCCTGTCAGCAAGTCAAATACGGCGTGCAGGCGATCTTCGGGCCGGCCGACCCAGTCCTGGGCCAGCACATACACAGCATCTGCGACGCCCTGGACATACCGCACCTCGAGGCCAGGCTGGACCTGGACCAGGAGACTAGGGAATTCAGCATTAATCTGTATCCAGCACAAAGTCTGCTGAACGCGGCGTTCAGAGATGTCATGAATTATCTTAATTGGACGCGGGTCGCCATCGTTTACGAGGACGACTACGGTAAGTGAGACGAGACGAGCCACGCGTATCGCATTCCCCCGGCGGCCCGATAGCAGCCTATCGATCGATCGCGGCGTATCAAAAGTTTCACGTCGTATACACGATTCGACGCACACGCAGCGCCGCCGAGAGGCAAAGGTGGCCAGCTCGTGATTCGATTTATTTATCCGATCCGCGCTCCGAGGCTATAGCCGAGCTTAAATACATTCGATTCGTTACACTGCAAGCCCTGCGCGTGGTCAATCTCTCAATATTTGCCTGACTCCGCTGCATTATCATACTCGTGGGTCTATTATTATTACTACGCGCGGACTACTCGAGTTACCCCCCCGTAGCAAAATATCTCTCTCTCGCTCGACGTCTTGCGAGAGCTGACTCGTTCATGGTGCTGCCTAGGAAATACGCACGTCTCACCGTCGCAGCACAGCTTGCGAGCGAACGAACGAGCGAATCCTTTTATGAGAGAGGCAGGCAGCTAGGAGCATCAAAGTGGAAATCCCCTAGAGCGTAATATAAACTCGCTGAGTAAGCATCGAGTCGATCATCATTGCCGCTCTACTCTCTACTCACTCGCGGCGGCTCTTTGGCCCGAGACGACGACGACGACGACGAGCTCGTTACACATTTTCCAGCTGTGAACTTGTTAAATACGATCAATCTACGCGTCATTACGCGCGGGGCACAAATCTCTCTCTCTCTCTCTCCGTCTTGCGCTATATAGGAGCACACGCACCTGCGAGCGTTTCGCTTTTTTGCGCGGTGTTTATTGCACGCGCCGAGCACGAAGTGAAATTTATGCGTTTATTTCGCGTTTAGGCGCGCGCGTTTTATACCGTACAGCGCGCGATTCGAGCTTTTATGTTATGCTGTTGCTCGCGCGCGAGCGAGCGAACGAGCGATCGTCGTATTTATAAGATTTTAGGCTCGCCCGAGCCGTGTACGCTACTGTATAAGAAGAATTAAAGCTCGCGAGCGTATACAGTTTATAGTGCGAAGCCTTTTTGCGACTAGTATACTACTTAAAAGCTCGCGCGGCAGAGCCTCCGCGCGTGCATTGAACGAGCCGCGCCGATCTGTATTATAGCTTATCCCATGAGCATTTTCCCACTCTCACGTTTATACGCAGCTTATTTGTACTTTATTTTTCCCGAATGGCTCGTAATAATTAAAATACGATTCGGACAAAATAGGAAGGACCCAAAGTTTTTGTTGCCAGTCGTTTGGCCTTTTATATGAATCAGTACGACACTATTGTTGTATATAAACGTGGCATTTTTAATGCGTAAAGCAGAGAGAGAGAGAGAGAGAGAGAGAGAGAGCAAGCGCCGAAAAAACAAGCTCAGCTAGAGGGACAAGAAGTAAAGAGGAAAAAAGTAGCAGCAGCAGGAAAGAGACAAGGCAGTAAAAAGCAATAAACTGACTCGAGCTCCCTGGAGAAATTATTGTCTCTCTCTCGCTGCGCCCGGCACAGCCCGCCTAGCGGGTGCAGAGTCCTAAACGCTCTCGGTTATAGCTGGCCTAGGAGGACAGTTACTTCACTGCCCCCCCCCCCACCCGCGCGTTATGTGGATTACGCGCTTTTATATATACTAAAAATTTTCTTTCTCTCTTTTTTTTCATATCGCGTTGCTTTTTGCCCAATCGATCCGCGAAAATGGCTGCGTAAATATTCCTCTAATAATACACGCACGTTAGAGAATAGAATGTCTCGCGAAAAAGGAAATTAAATACGCGAGTGCGCGGGGGGGCACGATACGTATACGCTGCACGAGTCAAGTCGAGTCGAGAGTCGCGCGCGACGCGCAAAGAGAAGACCTAGAAGTTGAGATGATACCATGATTACTTGAGCTGGTCTCGTAGGTATTGATTCCAACTGGTCGTCGCTATTTACGGGTTTCACACAAACACATCCGCGACGGCAGCTATTCACGGACGAGCACACGGACATACGTACGTATAGCATAAATGCTTTTTATTATAAAAGCTCGATCGATCGATCGCTGTATAATGTACTCGAGCTTCGCCTTGATTGGGATGTAGGTATATATTGTCCGTATGTAGTGGTAGCGGAATAGATTACGATATAATGTGTGCAACTCGGCGGCGGCGGCGGCGGCGGCGCTCGGAGACAACCTGGCACACTCACACATTTATTGGTCGTGTACTCTTGGGAGGCTGAGTTCGGGGATAAATGTGTGTGTGTGTGTGATCGTGAAAAATTCAAAGATAAAGATAGGAATGTATAACGGTAACCGCTGCTGCTGCTGCTGCATCCGATGAGCCTCGACTGATAATGCAATATGACCTCGTTATTGCGCGGTTCTCGACTCCTCGCGCACTCGCGAAAGAGATGATAATCCAATATTGATCTCGACCCGCGCGAGCGTATCTATTTTTGATTTTTCACCCCGAATATATATGTATAACGCAAATTTTCTTCTCCGTTTCTCTCTCTCTAAAATAGGTCTGATTAAACTTCGAGATCTGGTTAAGCAGCCGAAAAAGTCGCCCGAGCAGGAGATATACCTGAGGCAGGCCGACGTAGACACTTACAGGGCTATACTGTCGGAGATCAAAGCCAAGGAGATACGGAATCTCATTGTCGACACCAAGCCCGAGAATATGCATCACTTCTTGCGAATGGTATAAAGATAGGCAATAATATGATAATAACTTCGAGCTTCCTCTTCTGAACTGCAAGTCAAAAATGTATATATTTCGTCTTTTGTCTCTTCGATAGATTCTCGAGATGCAAATGAACGACTACAACTATCACTACTTTTTCACGACGTTCGTAAGTACTATATTATAATATCGATGATGCTTAAATTTATCACGAAGCCTATCCTATCGCCTATCAATCGCCTGTCCTATTATCAGGACATCGAGACGTTCGACCTCGAGGACTTCAAGTACAATTTCGTCAACATCACGGCCTTTCGACTGGTCGACGCCGACGACGTCGGGGTGCGCGGCATCCTGCGCGACATGGAGAAATTCCAATCGGCCGGCAATCTGCTCAACAGATCTCACGTCATACAAGTAAGTGAAAAGAAAAAAAAATTCGATCGACTCCGCGTCTGACCGTACTCCGACGCCCACTACTTATGTATATTACAAGCAGGGCTTTTGCCCTCGAGCTTTCGGCCCCTCGGAACGCGCGGCTCGTTTTCCATTTTGCTGCTGTTCGCTATATTGTGCGAAGCGAAAAACTAGTACAATATCCAATCAGCAGCAGCAGCAACGTGGCTGACACATAGAGAGGAAGAACAAAGCCAAAAAAATTAGAAATAGCCTGGAACGAGGTCGCCTTCCCCCCTCAGTCACTCGCTCGTTTGCGCCCGATGGAAAGAAAAAAGGAAGAAGAAGAGGCCATCTGGATTTACCGCAACTATCTCTGTGTGTAGAGTTGTATTACGCGCGGACATTCTTGGGGCGCGCGCAATAAATCAGCCTCTATCTCCACGAGGCAGTGTTAGGCTCTTCTCTTTACGAACTTGTCTTGTTCCTTTCTTTCTTTTTTTTCCTTTTTTTTTTGTTTTTTTGTTCGTTACACTTCCCCCTCGAGGGCTACTATTTTTTTTCGGCGGGAGGCGAAAAGGGGCATAAAACAACTGGCTTCCGTGGCACGATTACTTATCATCGCGTCTTCATAGCTTATTATGAAAGGAAAGGAAGAAAAAATTCGCTGCGATTGCAGAAAAAAAAGGAGGAAGGAAAAACTCGACGCGCGGGTGTATCCGAATATATAAAAGCGAGGCGTAAAATCAGCCAAAAGAAAAGTACATGCATCGCCAAATAGAAGTAGCTGCAGTAGTAGAAAATAGCCTTCACCGTGGGAGGTATGGGTTTACGAGTATAAGTCGCTCGGCACCTGGTGACTGCAATGCGAGTACGCAGAAAAGAGACTCCCATCCGAAAAAGTTTTTTATTTTTATTTTTTGTATTTTATCTTATACGACCGCGTTGGGAGCAGTAAAAACGAAAAAGAGGAGAGCGAGTTCGACGTTTGATTTTGCTTCGACAAAAAAAAAAATCAACAAAAACAAGAACAACAACAACAAAAAGCTTTTGCTCGTATACGTGGGCGCGCGTGAACTAATTAAATATAGAGATACGCGTATAACACACTCGACTTGAGCGCGTGTGTACGAGCTCCAGCGAGCTGCGCATCTTTTAATTGATAAGCGCTCGTGTGTGTGTGTGTTTGTGTGTGTGTGTGTGTGTGTGTGTGTGTGTGTGTGTGTGTGTGTGTGTGTGTGTAGGGGTGCGTCCAAGTTTCTTACATGCATGTGCACTGCGCTGCACTGCACTGCTGCCCTCGCGTCATTAACCTTGCTGCTTATATAATAGCGAAGACTTAGTACACGCCTTATCGCGTCTGGGGGAATAAAAAATCGTCTCTCCTCGGTGCATTACGCATGTGCAAATTTAATCACAAGTAATACTTTTAATCGGCTCGAGTGAAGGAAAAAAATATTAAGATCCGCACGAGAATCGCGTATTTATATTATAAATATCTTACTCGTCCCTGGAAAAGTAGTCCCAATACTCATTACTCAAAGTGCCGCTGCAGCTGCTGCAGCTGCGAATGTGAGCAGAAAAAAAAATTATATATACTATACAAGTTATAAATTCTCTAATGATTTCCAAAGGAATAACCGAGTAGATATTTGATTTCCTGTTCATCCAACAAATATATATAGGAGTTGTAAACAAGGGAAATCTGTAGGAGATGGAAAAGGAAATTTGTTTGCCCAAGCTCTCTTTGCAGCTTTGCGCTTTATACTATATATGGATGGGAAAAGCACAGTGTATAGAGTATATTTCTCTCTCTCTCTCTCTCTCTCTCTTCCGTACAAAATTGAGAAATGTTGAACGAAAGAGAGGAGATAGGACAAAACATACTCAAATATAATCTGACATTTCCATGAACCTTCCCAAGTATGTATATTCAAATCCGTTTGTTAAATTCTGTGGCTTTTTTTTAAATTTCTTTTGAAAAATTCAGAGCGACTGAGAGAGAAGCGCTACATAAGCGTAAAAAATCAGGTAACGCTAATGAATCATCCCTTCCCTTCTTTTTTATCCATCTTTTTCTTTTTCCTGTCCTTTTTACTCGTTCAGGAATGTACTACCTGTGCCACACTGAATGGTACAGGGAAAAAAAACCTTGCGCAGCAGCAACAGCAATGGAGAGCCTTCAATTGAATCCGATTAACATTTTTGCCTCGCGGAAAAATTAAAGACCCGCGCTCTTATCGTCGTTATCATTATCCGATGAAAATAAGAAGAAAAAATATATAAGGGATAAAGAAGGAACAAAAAGCGAGCGGCGATAAAAAGAGAGGAAAGAAAGAAAGAAAAGCGGAACGATCCTACCTGAACGGAAAATAAGATAGCCGCCCCCCACGCGTGTTGTGTGTGTCCTGGGTAGATGTATCCAAAACGTCCATCCCCATCTTTATGTACTTTTTGTAGCCGCTGCTGCTGCTGCGTCAAGCTGCGCGCCGCGCGAGCGGCGGATATTTTATGTGCATTTATATTTCGCAAGAAGAAATATACAAAGAGGAGTAAAAAAAGAGAGAGAGAGAGAAACACAGAAACAACTTTGCCGCGCGCTTTATTCTCAGCTTAGCCGGTTGTAGCTTTGGCTCTTCTTCTCTTCTGTATGCATCTCTCTCTCTGCATTTTATGCACTTGTAAAATAAAAAATGATGAAAAAAAGGAGAGAGTGAGAGAGATAGAGAGAGAGAAAAGAAAGAAGCGAGCGAACGAGGAAGGGAGGAAGGTAAAAAAAACACACGACGCGCCCATTTCGACTAAAAGATATCCTCTCGCAGGCACTTAGTGCGCGTGATTTGAATTGCCACTTTCCTTCGAGTGCGACAGCGTCGTCGTCGTCGTCTACTCGTCTTCCTAACGTTCCTTCGTATATATAGAGTATATATGCGCGCTTATATAAAGCGGGCGAGCGAAAGGAGAGAGAAAAAAAAATTTTCATAGACGTGATGAAATTAGGCCTCGCTCGCTCGTCGTTGGAATGACGTCTTTTCGTATGAATGCCCGATGCGCCGCCCGACCCGAGTGTAATTACGAAAATCGCTGACGTTTATTTATTCGACTTTATTTAATACAGTAGAGAAGGAGGACAAAAAGAAGAAGCTCTGCTCTTCTCTTCTTCTGCAGCCAATGATTCACTTAGCGAGTATAATTTTTAATAGGGATACGCGCGCGTTCATGCGCCGGTGGTAGCAGCAATTTTTCAGCTTCGTCATTCATATTGAAATATGCAAAAGAGAGAGAAAACCACTCGTCGTTTTATGAATAACGTCGAATAGCGACGCACATACACAATCGATCAGTTTTCCCATTTAAGAGCTCGTTTGTCAATATTATCCGTCCGTCGTGCAGCAGCAGCAGTCTGGGTATCTTAGTCGTCGTCTCTTTGCTGCTTTGTCGCAATTGGAGCAAAGTGCATCGTGTATATTATTCGTGTACACCGTTTACGGTGGCTTGTATACAAGCGAAGGAATCGAGCTGCGGAGTCCTCCCTTGTGGCCGGTTCCATTGGCGATCTCTTTGGACGCTAAGCTACGAATCCGATCGATCTCGTTTCGAACTGCAAAGTGTCCGTGCGTATATAGTTTTGCGGAGCTTTGATCGTGCGTTGCACCTTTGCAGAGAAGAAACAAGCGTCACTATAAAGGCACCGGAAACTAGAAATGCATTCGCTGCCCCTAAACGTTAATTGTAATCTCTGTTGAATGTGCTCCCATTTATTGCTCATTTCGACAAATACATTGATGTATTTTAACTTATTTAGTTTAATATCGAAAAATTAAATTCAAAGCAAGATTGTAGATCGACATAAATACCAAAGATAAGAATTAAACAATTATGAAAGTTTTTAAAAATTTTTAAAATTGTAGATAACAAATTAAATTATTAAATGGTTTTCACGTTGGTTTTTTTTCAGATATCTGATGATTTTTATTACTGATCACATTTCTCATATAGCAGAAATAATCAGTCTCTTAGAAAATTTATCAAAATCGATCGCTCGCACGCATTCAATCAATTCAGGATCGCGTGTCATTACGTGAAATTTATCAAAAACCCATCAATCAACTAAACGCTGACTCGTAGCATGATGAGCCGTACAAACCGAGTTAACAAAAAATATACGGAGATTAGTACTTAGAGGTACGCAAAATTTCTGAGTTGGTTGATATAACAAACTTTGGATAAGACACAATAAATGGAATTCACATATGTTACTTTGTTCAAATTAGGCACGTTTTATCTAAATCCAAAGTCATCAAATTTTTGGTTAAGAACTCGTTGTAGTCTGTCAAATTGAGTATTGTTTTTTACTTCTTTCCGCATATGTCACAAAAGCTTCCAGGGTTTCTATAGGGAAAATGGATTAAACGTTGCTCATTAAGACCTATAGCAATTGTCCGATAAATAGTTTCTCTGAATTTGATGGACCTTTTCTTGATGACTGAACAAATGCGCTTTTTGCCCAAATTTCTTCTCGCACCTGTCGCATGCGAAATCTTTGCGACCTTCATGGACTGTATTTCGGTGTCGGACCAAACTCGATAATTGTCCAAATTTCTTATCACACCTGTCGCATACGAAATCTTTCTGACCTTCATGGACTATCTTTTGATGTAAAAGCAAGTTTGCTTTTATGCAAAATTTTTTCTCGCATTTGTCACATGCATAATCTTTCCGACCTTCATGTACTGTCCTTTGGTGTTTCAGCAACTGCGATTCTAGTCCAAATTTCTTCTCGCAACTGTCACATACGTAATCTTTGCAACTGTCATGTACTGTTTTTTGATGAAAGACCAAGTGACATTTTTGCCCAAATTTTTTCTCGCACTTGTCACATGTAAAATCTTTTTGACCTTCGTGGACTCTAGTTATGTGCTAGAGTAAATACTGTGTAGTTCCAAATTTCTTCCCGCATCTGTCACATGTAAAATCTTTACGACCTTCGTGTACTGTTTTTATGTGGATTAATAAATTGG